TCTTGCGGCGGTACCGTTGTTACTCACTTTCTTTCCAACAAATCGTAATCATTGTGTCTTGTATAAGAATTTATGCCTTGATATGAAACCTGTAAGTATTGATAACCGTGTCACATAAGCTGCATTATTGATTTTAACCATTCATTTCTCTGGTGTCAACATATTGTATTTTTGTGTTTTGTATGAGAAAGCCAATATGATGCATACACAACAATAGCATACAACACCATACACTGTGGCTAACACAACAACCTATACGAATTTAAGAATGTACGAAAAATAATTATTCAATTACTATTACAAATATAATCACAATTTTCTCTATAATTAAAAAAGGCAAAGTAAAAAATTAATAATCTCAGCACAGAGTATCAAAAAAACCGACCTCAAAAGTTCGTGGAATTATATGGACCTCTGCTTGGCAGACCAGCATGGGAACCGTTCGGTCATAGAGGCAGTTTCTTCTGAATGAGTTCGTGCAGTCTGCCACCTTGTTTATTTCTGCCGCCAAGCAATAATGTTAGCATTACTGTGTTCTGGTTTTGAAGGGTAAGGGGTGAAATTACAGGCACGTGGGACTTGTCAACTTATGTATTTACGATTCAAAGCTCTGAGTGGCACTGCAACTGTTATGGACAGGCGTGTAGCTTATACTATCAGGCGCACGACTTGTTCGTCCCGTCATTTGATTTCATAAAAACAAAAATATTGTCACTTTATTATATTTTATATTTTAAATTTGTTATTTTATTATTTCGTTGCTCATCATCAACCTAAACACGTCTAAAGGTTTGTGAATTTTCTTCGACATCCTTTATTGCACCCCTGGTATAATAAGGCCAGATCTGCAAAATGTCATGTTTTTAGGAGAGAAGCTTAAAAATTCTACGAATTAAATCAGTGAATCAGCGATAAAATGGCAAACTAGCATGGTAACCATTCGACTATTGAGGCAGTTATTTTTGACGACATCTTTTTTACACTCTTGCGGTATAACTGTGGCAATGCAAATTAATTATTTGTAAATGAAAACAAAAGACCTAATTTTTAACAGATGGTCGCTTTGTGACGTTTTTTTAACTTTGCGTAAGAAGTGTTCGCAATTTGTAATCAACTTGAAGACGGATTACATTATTTGCTTTAAAAATTGTCATTTCACGCAATTTAAAAAATTAAGTTATGCAACAAATAAGACCTTTAGAGGGTAATTGATTTTAAAAGCTCGTTGGTGCTGTCCATGTAATGGCGAAACATTTAAATTTGTTGCGAAATTATATTTATATTAAGAAATTTTATTTATAATATGAATCCACAAAAATAATAAGAGAGTTTTATACTGAACTTTATAAAACGCACTTTAACTTCGACAAAAAAATTATAGTTACGCAAGTTTTTCGTATTTACAAAACGAAATATACCTTTTATTATATTTACTATCAAGTGACTATTACATACACATATTACATACACATGCACACACGCATGAACACATCCTGTCATACACACCTTCTTCTTATTTCTGTCTTTTTCTTGTATTCGTTTACTATGTAGAATGTTTGGCATTATAATGTTAATAAATTAAATGCGGTAGAAGACGAGCGTCTGTAATAGGATTTTATTTACAACTAGTACGGGCGCTAAAGTTCAACCTTATCTTAAACAATTTCTCGTATAATGATGTCACGTCATTTTTAAGACACCATGCAATTGTATTGACTCAATAAATATTTATTATTATTATTTTTAGTTAAAGTTAACAAGTTCTCATTCACCAGCACTTTAACCCTTCAAAACCGAAACGAAGGTCTGTTACGCTTTTACTATCAAAAGCTCCCTTTGGATCCACAGTGGCCAACAGCGCGAAGGCATTGATTGGAACATTATTTTTCATAAATTTAGATTTTGATAAGCTTGTACAGTTATTTGTAGCAAAAAGTAAAAGTAATTTTTAAGATTTTTTTGTCTTGTCTCTAGGAGCACGGACACGTGACAGGTTATGTAAAATTAGGTACATTTATTCAACCTGCAAGCAGATGTGCAAGTATTAATAGGTTTTCATGTTCAATCTCTATTGTTAATGTAAATTTGTATTTGAAAATTCTAAGTATTCTTTGTTACTATAGAATCAATACACTCATACTTCTGATTTTGAATCCAACTCGTTTACTGTATCTGCTATCCGGTTATGGAATTCTCTTCCTGAATCAATTCGACGATCCCCTTCTCTTGATTCCTTCAAACGACGCATTAGGGAACATTTCCTCAACTACTAATTCTGGTTTTTTTCCTTCCATTCCCTTAATTTTATTTCCTTTTTGCTTAATGTTACATACAATCTTCCTTTCTTAATTTATTTATTATTATTACTATTTATTATTTATTTTATTGTCCTACAAAAGTTTTTTATTTTATTGATGAGTAATTTATTTGTAAGTCAATGTGAGTAATGTATTTATTTTATTACAAGATACTCTGTGATTGCATTCCCTTTTCCAACCCTTAAATTTATATCCTAAGGTTGCCTGGAAAAAGTTGCTACTTAGCAATAAGACCGTCTGTTGTACTATGGCTTACTCTGCTTGCATTACTGTTTTGTGCTGGCATTGTAATTTTATATGCAATAAAGAATATTTCATTCAATGTGTCAAAAGCAATTTGTCAATTGTAATTTGAAAGTGTGTCTTTGTAACAATTTTATTTCATTTAGTAATTTTTTTAATAATAATTATTTTAATATTAATTTGAAACAATTTTACTTATATATTACTTTATGGCAACGAGGTGGGTACAAAGATTCATAATTTTAGCTCTAGTTTGCCATTGAATCATTTCACCACGTGTTTTGAAATATTGAGGATAATATATTCTCCCAGTTGTTACTAACACTAATTCTTAAGTTATTTTGTTACTAACACTATAGATTTAGAGTCCGAAATAAATAATTATTATTATTATATCTATTTTAGACTCTCGCCTCTCCCAAGACCTAAAAGATTAATTTTGATTAATTTTATTATTATTGTTGTCGTTGTCGTTGTCGTTGTCGTTGTCGTTGTCGTTGTCGTTGT